AATAAGTATGTATTTAACTAAATACAACTTATGAATCCATATTAAACATAGATGTTTTAAAGCCACCTTTTTTTTAAACAAGATTTCCACTTTCGTAAACTGGCAACTGGTCTCAAAGCAATTTGAGAAAATGCGTTTGATCCGTGATGTTAATGAAATATAATATGGGCTGACATGTCTGAGAGGTACTCTAAATGTGAGTTTTCACGGAGAGCAAATGCTTGGTATTTGTGAAAGTGAAAATGCACCTGTGGCACTTTCTTGTTTATGAAAAGCCATCCGACATTAGACGTCTGAACATATTTTGAGCATCATCAATGATTTTTAACGTCAACTGCAGGGAAAGGGGCTATTCTTAAGCACGCAAAACCGTTTTGTCCCGTTTCACTGAAATCTTCAAGCTTCTAGGTTGGATGACTGGCGATAGATACAAAACTAAAGCTTTGACTGTCAATGAAGCCATTTTCTCCCAAAGAGTCTCAAGATGGGAGTAGCATTCAATTAACTTGATCCCATCTAAAGAGCCTTAATTAGGTTTGTGGAGGACGCCACATGCACGGTGGGTCAGGGACAGCAAGACTGAAGGAGACTTATTTACGCCAGGACGATCAGACGCTTTAGAATTAAGGGAATTAAAACCTATCAACTCTATCCTCACGGCGTTTTCAAAGTGTCCACTCTGCTAGGATCCGGACCCCGACAGTTCCCTGCTTTGAAGGGGGAATTTGGATTTAAAACAAGCAGCAGCTATCAGTCACGCATGTCAACCAATACCCGAAGAGATACTGGTTTCACTTTTTATTATTGGACCAGATATTGGGCGGTGGATTACAGACAGCCTATTGCAAATATCATTTCTGACGCGTTGATTTGCATTCCTCAGGTGTGGAAACGCTAATCTTAGATTTGAATATTAGATTCTAAATAGAATATTTGAATTTTAAATATCTTTCAAATCTTTATGAGGAAAACATATACTGGAGTAACATTGAAAATAACTGTCACCACCATGTCATTGCAGATCCTAGACTTGTGGTTGGCTGGGCTGGATCCTGCCATGCATGGTGTCAGGACTCATATCGCAGGCGTGCTTTGACTGACCGTGTTCGTGTAAGTGTTTGTGTGTCTTTGAAAGCCAGAGAGTGAGAGAGTTGAGGGGGGTGTGTTATCCTTTATATCAGACTGCAAGCTCTATGATCACCAGGGCTCGCGCACACACGCGCACACACACACCAGAGCGACCATTCACAAACCGAGGCAGCGCGTCAGCATCTATTGTAGTGACTGAGCTAGTGGCATATACTGTGCAAGGGCATAACAGCCTAAAGATTACACACTGAGGGTCAAACAAGGCATTACTGGGATAAACTGGTACAAAACATCCATTCAAATAAAACAGCATTACACTCATACTCATACTCTTATATCGCTATATGTCTAGGGACTTCGACAGGTCATCGGTCTTTTTAATAGCAGAAAGGATAGCATTTATGTATAACACTATTTGGTTGTGGTGTTTTTTATCTACACATTGAAACAGATTGTGTTGTTTATGCTGGTATGTTCAGTTGATCAACCGAAGCATTTTAAATGGCTTCTGCATTTCATCTGAAAACTATGCATTTATCCTTAAATATACGCCCTCTTTGACTTTTATCGACGTGAAGACCGTGGGCATTTCAGTTAGTTCAGTTGGTTGTTGGCTGGAAAACACTTTTGCATTCAAAGCGTAATAAATGATTGACCGTCCTCTTTTAAACTATTTTCAATAATATTTATCCACTTAAGTTGAATTGCTCTGGACGATATAGACCTTGACTGTGTCATGGAAACGTAAAACATCCATATAAAATTTTATTAAATATGACATACAATTAACTGAAATGAAATGGAATAAATGATATTGATACTGGTACAAAATATAACATTGAAAACACAAAAAACTTTGTATAAACAGATATTTCCAAAATATCACCAAAAGCTAAATAAAAGTGCAAAGTTGCACATAATTTACCTGATTTTTAAAAGACACCAAATTCATTAACCAGCGTGAAGGAAATGTTACTGAGACCAGTGTTTACAAATTCAACCCAATTGACCCCCTTATTGGGAGCTCTAACGTTACCTTAGTATTTTGATGTATTAGTAGATTATTCAAAATGCCTTGCTTCTTCACTGTTTTGACGTTTCAAAGGTGGAAAGCGGGTGGTATGTAGACAATATTAAATTCTTTAAATTTTCATGGAGGGGTGAAATGTCAGTCATGTTTCAATACCGTGGAATGGAATAGAAAATCTCGAATATGTTAGTGAATAAGGATACGTCAATAAAATGTCCCCTCGGGTATACATTGGAGAACGCCATACACAGAAAGCGCACGTGAACCTGCCCGTGCGCACGGCTAATGCTACACATACAACACAAAAGACGCAAAGAATAGTGCCATATCATGACTAATATAAACATAAAATTTAACTTATGCCCAGGGTTTTGCAAGTGGCACCAGTGCAGTTATAGTAAACAAGAGCACCAAAAGCTCTTATAATCAACGTGATATGAAACACCTGATTTAAAAAATTATAAGAAGGTACAGGATTTACATTTGATAAATGGATTAGATACATGTATCATATTCCGTTGCTGTACACCAGCAGTAAAGCTATACGTGCTTGCATCGCTTAACCTGTGTTCTGTTGTTATGGGAGGGGGCGCCTCATATTGGTTGAGTGAAATCACAGGATAGGCTACATACAGTAGAGGATGAAGCAGCAGATGTAGAGGGTAAAGGAGGTGACGGGGATGGTTCATTTACAGCATCTCTTATCGCACATCAATGATTTGTTGAACTGATGTGCTTTTATTTTTATTCACTATTAATGCTGGCATGATTCATTTTTATGGCAAATACATATAAATATTTATGCATTTCTGATAATAAATTGTTCTATTTGCAAATGAGAAATAAAAGCGTAAAAATACAACTCCGCCAAACCAGGGTGAGGCTTTCAGCGCTGTAGCGCAACAGAGGGCAGGCTGCGGCGCTTGCGATCTGTCAACCGCTCCATTGTCTTTCACCAATTCCGCGCATGGAGTCTATGGTTAATATCTGTGGATGATTTAAAATCGTTGTAGAAGTACATCCCCTGTCATTAAAGCCAAAGCATCCTTGAAGACCCTTAGATTAGCGCCGTGTCCATTTCCACTCTTGAGAAGAGCTGTACGACAGGCCGGTGGCTATTGTGGCTACCGCCATGGTCTATTCAAACGGCTGTTGTCGGGGATCTTCGTGGAGCAACAATAGAGCATGCGTATGAATGCAGGCTAGCCAATATAAAAACATGACCAAATACATTTTTAACCAGTTTATTCCCTAAAATAACAATCAATGCTTCGCAGTTAAACAGCAGTAACCGAAATATAACAAGTATTTATATTCAGACTGTATTTAAAAATGTTATTGAATGGAGAAAATAATCAATGAAAATGGAAAATAGGTAGCCTATGCCTTGTTAGTTAAAGGTGGTTAGGCAGATAGAAGGCACTAATTTGATGAGACTGCACGGTGTTGGCTCGCCAGAGAAACTTCCTAATGAGCATGCAATCATAGAAGGCCTCTTGAGAAACCTCTTTAGTTAGAAAAGCCATACTGCACGTTTAATGGCAGAAGCTAGACTTACCATCTATACAGCCAGTTACAACAGAATGATGTCTTTACAAAATGTGATATTAAAGGTGCAAGAACACAATGCGAACCAATGGTTATTGTTGATTTCGATGCGATATGCAGTAAAGGCCACAGTCAATGCACATTGAACATCATTGCTATGGCGTCATTTATCATACACATAACGACTCTATGACGGATTACTGCGAATAAAGAGAAATAAAATGAATTCCAAACCAATTGCGCGCGATGATGGATTTGCTGCTCTATGGTACAGAAAGCCTTAAAAGGAACCATCTGCATCGCCATTTGCATTACTACAAGGTTTCATCCTTTTCAATAGTGCATAGGCTCTGGTTAAGAGTTATAAAGAATAGAAATCAAAGAAAAGTTCTACTTCATTTTTTATTTTTTTTATTTTTTGGCGCGACAATACGCAGATTGGCATTCTTTAATAAAAATAGTTTCCGTCCAAAGATATGGGGGTCCAGTCATTGCATTAAAGTATGTTCTCCTAGACAGATGCAAACAGAGCTTCGTCTGTCATAGTTTACTTTTTCTGATTAGTGTGCAGTGTAAAGCGCGTAAAATAGTGCGTACTCGTGATTCTTCGAAAAACTGCATCGCTGTATATCATGTGAATTTGTGTACCATTCACAATACTAGCCAACTTGTATAACTCATGGAAGTAAATACTATACACGTCCTCGTCAAAAATTTCACAGTAATGTTTATTGCGGTTTGGAAACAGTAAGCACCCCATTATGGAAACGATTTCTCATCCACTCGTTTTGGTTTGACGCATTCTGTTTTGCATAGCCAACCGTTTTTTCGACTTTATCAAACTGCAACAAATTAATTTTGACAAAACTTTTCGCATATACTAAAACGTAACAATACTGACAATAAACTAGTGCAAAAACGGTAATTGAAAAAAAAAAATCTGCGGTTTCGTGAGTGCGTTCGGAGAGTGAGTTGCCTTGACCAAATTCAAATTATTCATACAAAAAATGGATAGAAATGATAATTACGCTACATGCAAACCTCCGATTAAAAAGGAAAATCGTGAAGATCGTGTTCAGTATGCAGGCTGCGTTTTGGCACTGCCCGAATTTGTATTTTGGTGAAGCACTGTGTCTTTAAAAGTGCAAGGATGAGTGTTGTCTGTTACTCTCGAATCAGGTGCACGTGATCAGCTCCAGCATGTTCTATTGGCCAAAGGCACGTGTCTAGGATACCGGAGTGTAACGTCACTGGGGGCTCGTATTAAAAATAAGAACAAAAATCCGGAGTGAAAGTATTTCAGGAGCAGTAAGGAGCCCCACTTCTCTGTCCTCAGAGTAGCCACTGAAGCCTCGCTAGTTGCACTGCGCAGCAAACCAGTAGCACCAAACTGGCAAGTTACGGTTCATCAACCTTAAACTGCAAACATTCCGTGTTTGGAAGGCGTAACTATGTTTTTCCTTTGTGACCACGGTGCGCAAAGGCTTTTTACTGTCGCTAAAACTCACTGACAGTTTTTTGGCCGTTTTGAATTTTTTTTTTCCTGAAGTGAACAAAGTGGACGGAGTCGCCCGTGGAGTGGGGTGCGACTGCCAGAGTGCGGGAGAGCGATAAAGGGTTAAGGACGGAAGGTGGAAAGTGCGTCTCAGCATGGATGAGAATGAGCAGAGCGCAAGAGACGTGGAACAGCGAGGAGCGTCGGACGAGTCCAACAGTGCCATACGACCCCTTTTACAAGCTCCAGGAAACCTGCAGCTGCCACACCGAATCACAAACTTCTTCATCGACAACATCCTGCGACCAGATTTTGGCCGTAAAAAAGAAGCGAATATTACGCGCTATGAGGACAATCACGGCGCACGAGAGAATCACAACCCTACGGGTCCAAGCACGGGACAGGTGGGAAGTACTGTACCAGCGGAAGAAGCTTCCACAACGCATACGAGCAGCGGAGGAAAGGAGGCAGAGATAGAGAGCGAAGAACCCCTGAAGCCCCGCGGGGAGAATGTGGATCAGTGCTTGGGTTCAGAATCGGATAGTTCACAGAGCAATTCAAACGGACAGACTGGTCAGGGTATGCTGTGGCCCGCTTGGGTTTACTGCACACGCTACTCGGACAGGCCGTCGTCAGGTACGCTTACCTCTATTTTTTCATAGCATGTGCCAAGAAATAGTTACATTTATGCAAAGCACTACAAGAGTTATAATTGCACTATATTTAATTCTAATCACGTATATCCACCAAATTTAAAAGGTCAGTTTCTAAAAACAACCCCCAAGTGATGGAACAAGTTATACTAGTACAAATATTTACAGTTCACTAAGTATTTTGGTTATTTAAATTTTGCGCATATTTTATGTACCTGAATATTTATGGGTCACTAACATATTATGACTGTACCTATATAATTAAATAAAACGACAAAAGGTCCCAAAAACAATAAAATGTTTTGGCCGTCAATGTAAACGACCAGTAAGTAGTTTCAACAATTAAGTAAGTTTTTTTGTTGTTACTAATATTTGTATATTATTATTATTTATTTATTTATTTTACTCGTGGAGTGATAATGATAATGTATTTGTTGTCATATTAATGAAGAGAGTGAATAAACAGACGAGAAACTGATTTTCTTTTAATAATACTAAATAAATGAAATTCTATTGAAATGCAATATTAATGCTGAACTGGTGTAAAAATAGATTTTTGGTTTTGCCAAATGTTTTTCCCTGTAAGCCTTTCGTCTTTGTTGATATTTCATTAGCATATTTTTTTCAACAATAGAACAGGCCTCGTATTTACTATATACCAAACAGCATTTGTTAATGGATTTTGCGGTGATTTTGTAAACTAATTTAACTAAAACTGAATTGCAATATTTAAGAAAATGTCCATGCTAAACGCCAATATAATGTGGCAAACTCGAGCATGAGTGGTCATGTACACCAGTCCATTAAATTTATTTATTTATTTTACTTTTCGAAATATATAACATTTCAGTTTCTGCTGTGTTGGTTGGTTGATATTTGTGACTGTATTTCATGAGTAGGTTATATGATTCAATGTTCGTTCAGGGAAATCATTCGGCCTGTTTACTACTTTTAATAGTGTAGAAAAAAAATTGCGCCGATATTTCATCTGATTTTCGCGTTAAAAAGTAAGCTGTTTAACGTCAATTCTTTCTCGATTTTTTAATACTAGAATATTCTTTAAAATAGTTTGCAACTGTAGTCGGAGCTCTTTCCATCGCGTAAACCAGATTTTATTTTGCGTTTAGTTTCTTAGAGTGCTCTACAATCACGAACCATAAACATTTACAACGATGAATGGGTTAAATCCAAGTATGGTCGCCATATAACCTCACTCAATGCATTTCTATACCTAAAATTAGACTTTTAACCAAAAAATGTCTTATATAGAGCAATGCGCGAATCCCTCATCAATATTCCGCTTCATCTCTGAGGTTTCCCGCATTAGCTATTAATGTAGCATTCACTGGACTACATAGCTTTACAGATAGAGGGAGAGGGAGAGGGAGAGAGAGAGAGAGAGAGAGATCTATAGGCTAGGCTACTGCTCACACCCAAGCGTGACGCAAAATAAATAAATAAAGCAAAGCCTACGTAAAACAGATTCATAAATTACAGCACTCCATTGAACATGTTTAATGCAACCTCACACCAGACCATGCATGAACACAAACGCATATTAAATTTAGCTTGCTGCACAGTGTGTGCTTCGCGTTTTTAAACGACTTGTTGTTTCATTGGTGCACGCAGGTCCCAGGTCTCGTAAACCAAAGAAGAAAGCCGCAAGTAAAGAAGACAAACGACCACGCACGGCCTTCACGGCGGAGCAGCTTCAGAGACTCAAGGCCGAGTTCCAGACCAACCGCTACCTGACCGAGCAGCGGCGGCAAAGCCTGGCGCAGGAACTGGGCCTCAACGAATCTCAGATCAAAATCTGGTTCCAAAACAAGCGGGCCAAAATCAAAAAGGCCAGCGGCGTCAAGAACGGTCTGGCAATACACCTGATGGCACAGGGACTGTACAACCACAGCACCACGTCAAAGGAGGACAAATCAGACAGTGACTGAGGCAGAGAGAGCGGGGAGGGGGAAGAGATGGGTGGGGTGGACCGGGTGGGGGGCAAGGTTATATTTACAATGCAATAATTCAAAAGAATAAAGGGCCAGTTAATAAATATACCAGCATTACTGACGTTAAAATAGAGGCTATATCGAATTATGTCAAAGTACATTTATTGAACACAATTCTCTTATGAAATAATGGTCAAATTATTTCAAAAATAGGCTATACGTGCCGTTGTTTGCACTTGGATAGAGTGTCTATGTTAGAAACAAGTGTTTCTATCGCTCTTTGTCATGTCACCAGAACCAAGCGCTATTAGCGCAACGGGCGTTTATATATACATTTATGTCAGTTTATGTGAGAAAAAAAACATTGCGCGAAACCTTGCTTAAGTCCAAAGAGTCTTTTCTGCTGCATCCAGGCAACTGTGAGTACTATGAAATGCGTTAGACTTGTTTTTTCCACGTTTTTCGTATTATTTGGTTTGATGTTTGATACGAAATGGACGCAGCAATCGTTCGGATCTCAGCAGGATTTTTTAACAAACAGAAAAAAGGAAACTGAGAAGAAACACTGTCCTTTTTATTGTAAATAAGTTCACAGTCTTAGCCTGGCTAATTTAAAAGAGTGAAATGGAGGAGGAAGAAATCACAAAACTTGTTTAACAGTGCATTGTAGGTTATCTGGTTGAACTACATGTGAACTAGCCTAATATTTTCGAAATAACATTGAACTAACCTTCATAGCCTGGTCAAAACACAAAACACAAAATACTGGGTGCGCTAAATAAACAAATGTACCGCAGCGTCTTAAATCGCATACATAGTTTTATAAAAGAGCAATATAATCATCTTTTGTAGCAAAGTATGTTTTAACCATTTAAATGCTGCCTATAATCGTGTAGCACTGACAATGATTTCGCTTATGCGCACTCTTGACTGAAGCCAGGGTAAGCGCCACAACACATCACACAGAAATATAAACAAATATATAAATATACAGCTATATATAAAACACAAACACACACAACTATCGAATAAAAAATAAGCAAACCAGCTGTTTACTGTATGACAGATGTTAAAATACTGTTTTAATGTTGACTTCATATTTGTTATGTATTTATATAGATTATATTAAGGAAGAAAAAAAACTTTATCCAATGACCGGTGTTGCTTTTTATGTGAGAGTAGATTTCTAAGGTGTTTAAATTGCTTATTTATATTGCAATAACTTCTTTATGTGAATAAAGCGGTATTGGGGCCTTTGCATGAAAGCTGCAAATTGTCATATTAGGCATATTCACGCGTGTTTAGAAAAGTAAAAAAGGGTATGATCGAGATTTAAGTTGCAGACTGTATCCATATACCAAATTGTGGATTTTTTTTACTTGTCGAATCTTTGTTTTACACCTGAAAAGAGTGTGTGACTATATAGCCACCAAACCTAACACACTTTGCCTTACAAGTTCAAGTGCGAACTTAATATCACAGAACTGTGCCGAATCAGAGAAACAGTATTAGTTCAATTGCATATGAGCATATCTATGAATATGGCCTTCTATCTGATATACGACCTAATGAATTTACTCATCAGCGAAGATCTATCTATAAAAGCTATGTTGAAAGCTGAAATGAAAAAAATTGAGATAATACAATGCTATTTTTATTTTGTGTTTACAGGTACTGTTTGTTATATGTGTAAATAATTTGTATCACGTACCTACGTATTAATTGTGTAATTAACTGCCTCCTGAAATCTTGATAAGAATTAAATAAACAATATGAATAATAATAATAATAATTCTCAAAGTCTTTTAAATGCATTTATTTGTGGCTTCTATGAGATTTAATGCCTATCTCACGCTCCTGCCCTATCTCACTCTTTGGTTGAAAGAACGTGCCATGCTCTCATCAAATGGGAGCTGAGCCCAGCGGACATGACGTCACGGCGCTGGCACACAAAGCTTTACCAAATCAGGAGTGAGTCGCTGATGCACCCTCAGCAGTAAGACAGTGGAGAAGCACTGCAGAGATCCATGAGCCCATATAAAAAATAAAACACTAAAACACTGGCCCTTTGAACGTTTTATTTTTTTATAGTCATTATTAGTGTTATCACAATAATTATTATCATTGCTATGATTAGTAGTATAGCCTAGTAGAATTAATATTAATATTATTTATTTGTATTTTTATAATTATTATTATTTATTTATTTGTTTGTTTGTTTATTTTTGGTTAAACCCATATCAGCAACACTTTGTTGTGACCCTGTATTTTGTCTAATGAGCATGACGACAATTAAAAATATTTGGGCTCTGGTCAACTTTGACTTTGGTCCATAAATCCTTTAAAAACGTCATCATGATAAAATTACAAACAGACTAAACATTATTAGCTACATCTCATGCTTTCTCCCACTTTAAATGCTCACACAATTAAATAAAATGAAATTAAATTCATGAAACGAAAACACTATCAAAGTGACGAATGAGACGTTAGGGGAGACGGGGACTCTAATTGAGTCTGTTAGGGATCCCTGTGTACGGACTTTCAGCTAGAAAAAGCTAACACTATTGCCAAAAATAACATTTCTATTACGCAGACATCAACAAAAAAATTGGACTATTATTATTAGCTGTATTTAGACATGAAACCGAAAATATAATAATTTCGGATAATGATGAGGCTACTTGTTTTAGACAACACGACCTTTATTAACTCCTGCAAAACAGCACAGGAAAAACAATGCTGTTAAACGCAATAATTAACTAACAGTCATTGCTAACTAATGGATAAAATGCTTCTGGACAAATTGTAATTTAAACTGGACGCTAACATTTCATTGTAATTTGCAATAAAATAATAAAATAAAAATCTGACCTAAATTAAGCTATTTGCACCATAAAATGCCACAACGGTAATGTTTGCCCTCCAGATAAAATAATACCTAGTCACAATTTAACTGTTTAAAGAATAGCTTTAGGTGGAAAACTTTACGCAGAATAAAATAAAAAAAAAAGTTAATTCAGACTATAAAAACAAACAAACAAAACCACTTTAATACAATTCTAAAATTTACAATAGAAAACATGAAAATAATAATAAATAAAATAACGCACAAATGCAAGTTTTACATACATTTACAGTTGAAGTCAGAATTATTAGCCCCCTTTGAATTTTTTTTTATATTTCCCAAATGATGTTTAACAGAGCAAAGAAATGTTCACAGTATGTCTGATAATATTTTTTCTCCTGGAAAAAGAAAAAATTAGCATGAATAAAAGCAGTTTTTTAATTTTCAAAAACCATTTTAAGGTCAAAATTATTTGTCCCTTTAAGCTATTTTTTTCTTTAGTCTACAGAACAAACCACCTTTATACAATAACTTGCCTAATTACCCTAACCTGCTTAGTTAACCTAATTAACCTAGTCAAGCCTTTGAATGTCACTTTAAGCTGTATAGAAGCGTCTTGAAAAAATTCTAGTCAAATATTATTTATTGTCATCATGGCAAAGATAAAATAAATCAGTGATTAGAAATGAGTTATTAAAACTATTATTTTTAGAAATGTGTTGAAAAAAATCTTCTCCGTTAAACAGAAATTAGGGGAAAAAATAAACAGGGAGGATAATAATTCAGGGGGATAATAATTCTGACTTCAACTGTTTATATCTCACTCCAACTTTTGCATGTCATCCAAAACAATATAATTGAGACAAACTTTAGAACTTAATTCAAGCTTTGTAGACTATCCACTACAATTTTCTGCAAACTTATAAACAACACATTAAAAAATTTTTTTACATACAATATAGTGAAAAAATTTGCCAAAGTGAAATAACATCTTGCCTATGATGAGTGAAACCATTTTTAATGATCTGCTTTTTCAGTAAAAAGTTTTCAGTAAAACAAGACTCAAGTTTAGAACTACTTAAAAAAAAGATTTATAATAACTGATTAATTTTTAACTTTGTCATGACAGTACATTATAATTTACTAGATATTTTTCAAGACACTAGTATTCAGCTTAGTGACATTCAAAGGCTTAACTAGGCTAATTAGGTTAACTAGGCAGGTTAGAGTGATTAGACAAATCATTGTATATGGATTGTTTGTTCTGTAGACTATCGAAAAATATAGCATAAAGGGGCTAATAATTTGACCTTGAAATGTTTTTTTATAAAAAAAAATTATAGCTGAAATAAAACAAATAAGACCTTTTCCAAAAGAAAAAAATATTATCAGACATAGAAAATATCCTTGCTCTGTTAAACATAATCTGGGAAATATTAAAAAAATAAAAATTAATCATTCTGACTTCAACTAATATATAATAAAACAAAACATCTTGTCATAGTCTACCTGTCCTCTGGGGGGAGGAGATGGGGGCCACAGACAACTGGCATTTCCCATGCACTGACCTGCTCAATGACAATGCCTCATCTACACTTCTTTTCTAGCGCCACTTGTATGAGGAAGTGATGCCCAATGGTTAAGGGGAGAGGTCCCTCACTGGCTTTCTATAGAGCCAAAGTATGTGTGTTTGTGTGTGAGCAAAGTAATGAGAGAGACAGACACAGAGAGAGAGAGAGAGAGAAAGGGGGGGGGGGGGAGAAGAGTGAGAGAGAGAAACCCCAAATGAAGGTCAAAACCTCCTGTCATGGCTGCAGGTGGCTCATTTCCTCTGCAAGGAACAATCCTCAATCCTGCCCACACCCCATCTTGATTTCTCCACCTTACACCCACATTTAACTCTCTCTCGCTCTCTCTAACACACAAACACACACACACATGCACTATACACTCTTAAAAACAATAATGCATTACAGTTTTTTTTGTAAAAAGTTCTTTAAAGAACAATTTCTTCATGACTTAATAATCCAAACAACTTTCTGCTATAAGGTACCTTTTGTGGAATAAAAGTTTAGCAGATGTAATAGTCTCTTTATGGAACCATTTAATATAAAAGATCCTTTATTTTCACAGTGCAATCTCTCAGAGGGTAGTTCAAGTGTACAATATGTGCAAATAAATCTTGTTTGTCACTCCAGACTGCTTGTATGCGCCCTGATACATGATTATATTCAATTATGGCATCATAACCATTTCTACCAAACTCTACAACTACTAAACTCCTGATATCAGGGTTCACTTCAGTCGATTCAAACAAACAATAGAATAGCCTGAGGTGGAGGGAAAGTATCAGAATACGGATGTCTACTCGTCTGCTTTCCATACAAAAGATCCCCCCTCCCCAAACTCCAAACACTCCCACTGTGCTTTTCTGCCCAGAGTCCTCCAAACGCTTCCTATGGACCACTGAGGAATGCGGCTGCGAGGTTCGGAAACGTCATTAAAGGAGTGAGGGATGCAAACGGAGGACAAAAGGGATGACATCAGGCCGATTTCACACCAGGCCCTCGGATGGCCAGACCCAAGCCAGAGTCCTCACTACGCACGGCAGATCAAAAAGACTGCTGCACACACAGACCAGTCCGGCAAAGCAGCAAAAGGGTCGGTAAAGAATGCTAATCCGCAGGACAAATATATTTTAATCTTGTTACAACACAAGTTAATGCTGCAGCTAGTTGATGGGAACGAGGATTTCTAATATGTTGTATACAATTGCAAACAACAACTTCTTCAGTTCACAAAATACACTGACCTTTTTAGACCACTGAAGTTACCTCGAAATGCTTCACAGAACATTCCCTGACTAATATAATATCAGGTCCATCATAACACAACAACATCTAAATCAACTCTCCTCTAACACCTTGGAGTTTTGTGAAGAGAAGACACAAATACTCTAACACAGGGGTTGTTTTTTTTGTCATTTAGGGGGAAAGCTCCACTGGTGGTGTCAGTGACCTCTACTGAAACCCCAGCAGGGCTCTGACATGCAAAGGAAATGAGTCTGAGTGAATGAGTGTGTGTCTGTCTATCTTCTGAGCACCTTGGTAACTCTTGATCTCTCATGTATGGAGCTCCGGCAATGGGCTCCTAAGAAGTCAACTCAGAGGACAAAAGAAAGCAGAGGCATTGAAACTTCGCTTTCTTGCTTTTCTTTTTCGCTCCGTCTCTCTCTCATGTCTCTCACACACACATATAACCGCCACATGAGTTGCACTAATTTCAAGAAAGTTTAATGAGAAATTTTAATGAGCTTGTACGGTACAAGTGGCAGTCGTAGAGGGTAGTGAGTGGCACGTGGACTTGTTAATAAGTTAACGGTTATGGTATGATTTGAAAAAGATGGTGAGCCTGAAGTTGGAAGTAACTTTATTGAAACCATGAACATTTTCGATGTGAAAACACAGGCATTTTATTGATACACCTTGAAAAACAGTTTAGAATAAATAGTAAAGATTGTACTCATGAATGCAGTCATTTTTCAGAAGGATTACTGATGTTCAAAGTTGATGACATTATTTTTATTCATTTATTTTCTAATCAACAAGAATGCTGAAGAGTGACAGACATTTTAATGTTACAAATGACTTCTATTTCAAGTAAATGGTTTATTGGTATTATTATAATTTTACAATTCTATTAATTACATTTAAAAAGTATCATAGTTTCCACAAAAAATATTAATCACAGCAAGTGTTTTCAACATTTATTTAAAAAAAAGAAGAAAAAGTTTCCTGAGCAGCAGATCAGCACATTTGAATGATTCCTGAGAATCAATGGAGAAATTATGGTGAAAGCTCAGCTTTGCCGTCACAGGACTAATGACATTAAGTATTTTATAACAGAAAATAGTTGTTTTAAATTACGACAATAAA